GTTGTTCATGGAGTGGCAAGGGTATCCGATCGAGAAGAATATCTTGTATCAGGATAACAAAAGCGCGATTCTACTGGAAGAGAATGGTCGCAAGAGCGCGGGCAAAAGAAGCCGAGCTATCAATATTTGTTATTTCTTTATCACAGATCAAGTTGAGAAAGGAAATGTTAAGATCAAATACTGTCCAACTGACGATATGATTGCGGATTTCATGACTAAGCCATTGCAAGGTGAGAAGTTTCGCAATTTAAGGGATCTGATTCTTGGTCCACAGGACTAGGTCAGACAAGTATGTATATGTTCAAAAATGAAAATACAAAACAAAATAAACAATGAATGAGAGCATGTCCCATTGCTGCCAATGGTGATTGTCACAATGGCAGGAGTGTGTTGGGATATGACAAAATATGAGTTTTTACGTTCCAAAAAGAAACTATTCAAGTACAAAGTTTTTCGACACGTACGATCGGACTTTGATCGTTATGTCGGGATTCGACACAAGTGTGCCAGGCGCAAGTCTGTTGGACAATTTACATCCACACAAAAAGAGAATGACCCTATACAAGTGAGATATTGATGTTGTGTACAATGCAGTAGGGAATAATACAAGATGTCCCAAAGTACTGCATCCAACATAGAATCGTCGTAGAGGTCGAATCAAGTTCTGTGGACTTAATTTTGTGATTGAATCATCAATTCAAGCCAAACATTAATCAAATAGGAACAATTTCACTCAAAGTATACCTAGACACAGGAGAACTATTGTTGTGAAAGTGTTGTACAGTCGATTAGGAATTTAGATTGCAGAGAGTTTGTTCTGAGCGCAAAGGCACTCACGATAGAGCACATTTTGCGTTATTCTAACATTGAGAAGAAAGACCTGATGAAGTAAGCTTCCCTTGTTTGTTGCTATATTGCCCCTTGAAGTTTCTTTTACAGAATAGACACCGTAGTGGAACATCTCTGTACTTGCGCCTCTTGCTCTGTGGTTCAGTATTGTTGCTTGCCATGGCAAAAAAGTGCCATAAGAAGGAGTACGGGGAGTGATAAAATGCTGATCAATAGCCTTTTTGTCCATGGATTGTGAAAAAAGGACATCACATTGGGATGTGCAGGATAACAATGACCTTTTGGAAGAAAAGGACCTGACAACCAATGTCTCATGGTTGTCACAATGGCTCTTGTGTGTCATTTGCCCCAAAGGAGTGTCAAAAAAAGGGGGCTCCTTGTGAAAAAAGGACAAGGAACTTTTGGGAAAGACAAGGCATGCCGCAAAAAGGGCAGACCATGGGAAATTTTGGACAATTTCTTCCTAAAAAGGTCATACCTACTGTTTCAGATGATCGCTTGCGTAGAGCAGGCAGCGCCACCAGTTCCTGGACCTGTTCTGGATTCAATCGCGACTGTTTGACGTCCCCGATGTAGAGGGCAGCCAATTTGGTAAAGAAACGAGCGTTAGGTGCAATCAATCGGTGTGAAGCTTCGAGCTGGTGGAGATAGGCAACCGCCCACGCATCCACTTCCACATTCCGTTTGGACCACCAAGAGAGGCACGAAAAGGATGTCGCCGTATCAAGGTGACCGTACATGTGGCTAGGTTCCCACAAGGCCCTAGAGCGGGCAAGTGCCTCCCGGATAAAGGAGACCAGGTCAAACTGGGCTTGTTGCGGTGTGACTCGATTGTCACCAAAGGTGTTGAGCAATGCCAAAAATCCATATCACGCAATCCTAACGCGGGGCGGTGATCGAAGTGTTGGGGCCCACTGGTCCAGAAGCCAATCAACAACCATGATACCGGCCAGTAGGCCAATTAATTCACTCCGGTACGCGCTCTAGTCATCAGTTAGACCTGGAGTCTGGCACCGAACAATCATACATTCCGTGCCACCCTTACGTGGAAGCAGTTGAACCGCTGCCATGCCCAGACCGAGCTTATAAGAACCGTCGCTGATCACACACAGCCGGACTTCGAGTAGGGCTGCAGCAAGGAGGCTTTTGTCGCCATCGATCTCAATTTCTTCAGGGGTCCAGCCAACATACTCGGTCACCCTGGCTGAGGCGGCCATCCAGGCGGCCAGCAAGGACGGTTGAGAGTCGTGATGCGGCTGCAGCGGTGCTGTCCCAATGCTGGTGAGGGCTAGAGTGCCTAGCGAAGGCGTAATGTGGACGGTAGCTTGGCACAAGTCAGCTGGGAGTGGTTGGGTCCAAAAGGGGGCTGGCAAGAAGCTGACGCCGTTGTCGGTATGCTTGTTATGTGGTCGTTTGCACCCGGACAATTGCGTAGAACGGGGATAGTCCCATTGAATGCTCGGTGTGGAGGAGCGACGGTGACGGTAGTGTTGCCACCTGTGGCCCTGGCGGTGGAACAATCCGTGGGAAGAAGACCATAACCAGTTCCAGTTGTCGAGAGGATCGATCCATGGGCCCAGAGGATGACGCAGGAGGTGCTGGGGTCCGTCAGAGACAAGTAGTGCTCGAGTAAGGTGTTCCTGCCACACCTTCCAGTGGCTCCTGTTGGGCTGGACAGTGCGAGGCCATGGACTCTCGTATGCTGCGGCCATCGTGCAAACTTGGAGGAACATACGGCACCAGTTGAGCCACTTTAGAGCGTCCTGATCCACTTCCAACTCCATGAATACCTCAATGAGCAAGGCATCGCCTTCGCACCGGAGAGGAGGACAGGAGAGTCAAGAGCAACGTAGATATCCAAGTCCTCCAACTCTTTCCAGACTCTTTTGAGCCAAGTATCTGACGCCAAAATTGCCGTGTTGCTATAGTCCTGCTGGAAGAGTCCAAAGGAGGTGCCGGTCTCAAGTTGGTGTTCTTGAACCGCAGCCTCCATATACGCCCCAGTTTTTGTTCGGTTGGACAAGTGGCGAAGCAGGACCTCAATATGTTTAGACACCTGAGTACCAAACGGATGGGGGATGCCCAGACCCTGGAATTTGAGAGGGGCAAGAACCATGTCACGAGGAAAGCTCCTACATATGCCGGCCTTCGGCAGGCAGACTTGGAGAACAGGACTCATAATTGACACCCATGTCGCAGCATCCAGTGTAGTTAACACCATAGGATATTCCAGGGATTTCATCACTGTTGTCTTGATAAGGGGAATGACATCGTATTTGTGTAGATGCCCCGATCGCACTTGCTCAGCCCACTTTTTGGCGATACTCTTGAGGTGGGCGACGTGAGCATGTTGATCTTCCAATGGGGCCAACATGACCCCCAAGGTTTTCTCTGCCTCATCCGGCTCCAGACGGCGTAAGGCTTCCAATTCGCCAGTCAGTCCAGGTATTTGTAATGGATGATCCGGTAGAAGTTGGTGCGTCCGGCGGAACCTCCATTTGCCCTCTCTGGAGTCCCACACAAAGTCAATCAACCACCAAAAGGACTTTTCTGGGTTAATTGCCCCTCCAGTAGCACTAATGCCTCCAGCCCACGTGGAAGCCGCTTGTTGGACGGAGTGGCATATATCCTCGCCAGATTGTTCCACGGACTTGCCCACTTCGATCACATCTGTATCGTCGACGAAGCAGAAGCACTGAGCGGTGATCAGTTGAGAATCAATCGCGGTGAGGCATTCGAAGCCGAAGCCCATCGCGGTCATCATCTGGACGATGACGGAGCTGACGGAGACCCAAATGGGCGGGCCCGCTCCGTTGCCCTGGCCGCAACCCTGAAAGGGTACCATGGAAGGGGGATGAAAGCTCACTTCAGAGTCACCAAAGCCTGTCCGCACTCGGTGCTTGGATGTTGCGAGAGTGTCAAACATCATGCGCAACGCATTCCAAGTAATCGCCAGACGCATCATAGCTAACACCGCAACCCAATGGACGACCCGATCAAAACAAGACTTTGCGTCATTTGAAATCCAACCCGCAGAGCGGCGCTGGAGGATCAGAAGGTCCCACACGAGGCGTTTAGACAGGGCAAGATCGATCGCTTGATGGTGTTTTCTAGACCCACACTGTCCATCGGCTAAGAGGTGATGCTCTTCGCCGTAGGCCATGGCCAGGCGGCCCAGTTTCTTGTAGTTCGCTTGGGATTCAGAATTCATGAGCTGAATCGTACGCATTTTCGTCAGCCGAAAGTCGCCCGGCTTCTTTTCAATGGTAAAATTCATCAGATGCCGCCAGTTGTCAGGGACAAACCCAGTTGTCAAGGGTATGTGGCGGAAGAGAGCGTCGCATTGGGCCACCATGGGAGAATAAATCCCAGCCTTGAAATGCCCGTTATGAAGCCCATGCTGTTCCGAGCCCTTATTCTCTGGATTACGGGACCAGAAGTAAGTATGATCGGCCGGCGACACTTCCATCGGGATCATAGAGTGCCCTTGATGGAAACGGCACTGCTCCAGGAATGACTGAGTGTAAGAATCAATCCCATCCAGCAGGGGAAGGCGGCCTGCGTGGGAGTTCCTCTCTGCGTCTGCCCTTGTGAACATTGAATACAAGGGTTCTTCCATGGGAGGAGTCGTATAGGGCGATCAAGTCTGGTCATACCTTGTGCGATTTTCCTGCATGCACCCTTGCTCAACTTGTCTCCGGTCGGTGAGAGTTCGTAGATCCACTTGTCCGGTAGGTAACTGCTCCTCAACTTGAATCGCTTGCAAATCACCGGTAGATCCTTTTGACTGGGCGTGGCGGCGGCGTCTCGCCTCCTCTTGTTGCTTCATCCGCCGCAACCTCAAAAAGCGATCCCTAGCCTTGCGCGATGTCCATTGTTTCTTCTTAGATTTCTTCACTTGAACAGTCAAGAACTCCTTGCGCCATGAAACCGCGTGGTTTTTCTTGGCATGCAGTACTCCTTCCTGTCATTACGCAATGCCGTCTCCAATTCAACTGTAGTCTTCTTCCACGCGTCGGGCAACTTAGTCTTCTTCATAAGGCCACGGATTTTCCGCGAGCTGACTTGACATTGCTTCCTTCCCTTCAGTAGTAGCTTCCAGAGGAACTGGCGGTCCCAAAAGTTTTGGATCTCGGGAGACCACGGGACAGCCCCATTTGTAACCCTTTGACACCTCGCTTCCGCTTTCCGACGAATATCGTACATCTGCTTGTGCAAGCAGTTATACTAACGTCCCATTTTCTCAGTCATAATCCCAATGTTTAATCTTAGTTGTCTATGAAGCTGCTCCAACCGCGATGGAATGGAGTACACGTCATAGCCTTGGTGAACCAGCCGGAGATAGCGTCGAACAGCCGCAGTGTCAAGCATTGTTAATTTCCGAGGCTTATATGGTGTCTTCTCCGGATGGTAGCTGCCAAGAGACCGTTCCAAATCAATATCGATCCACAGACCGCGATGATCACAGGCAAAAAAATCATCAAAGTTGTAGTAGCCACCCGCTTTAATCACCACTCCGGAAGTTGCGAAAGCCCCATCAATGGGTCTGCCACGTTTGTTGCGATGCTGGGTTGCTGCAGTTCGACTTGGATGACGTTGTAGAATTGCTTCCTCCAATCCTATGCTACAAAGTCGCTGGCGAAAAGAGGAATCCTGGTATGAGGAGACATCCTCATTAGCATCCACGCCCACAATCACTTTGCACCTCTTGTCGCGCCATTGGGTGATCAAACGCCTCCCTTGGATCACACTGTCTGCCTTGAGAGCGGAAGAAGCTGCGGTGTTGCGCCCATACCGTAGATTCGCCCTTACCCGGGGCCCCTGGGAACGGAGACCAGTGTGAAGATAGTCCTGTACCACCTCTTCCGACGTGTCCCTTGCAAAGCCGACCCGCATTTGGGTACGTAATTTCTTCTCACCAGGCTTGGTGTTGGTTGCTGCATAAGGATAATTCCCATATTCCATATGGCAGTAAAGACTCCGGGCCCAGTAGGACCAAAAAAAAAATTGTTGCGTAACTCAACCAAGTTTAGGATCCACCGGTTCTGTTGTTTATAAGTGTCATCGGAGATAGGGAGGATCTTCAACTCGTGAAAGGAGTTGTTCAAAGCTTCCACAGCAGATAAAATTGCCTCAGCAACCGTGCCGGATTCCAATCCCGAGTAATTTGTTGCAAATGTGGTCTCAAAAATATGACATCTGCAAGTTAACTTGAATTAATTTGTTAAGTTTCCCAGCAAGAGTGGGCAGTGGAGGTATGCGACGTGTAGGTGGAGGTGTGTTTATCAATGAAGAGCTATCAAGCTGTCAACCGCCATGTTGTCGTCTTCTGACCTCACCAGTGCTTCTAAATATTCTGACTGAACCACCCCAGCGTTGCTCACTGCATCATCATCCTCATTATCATCATCATCATCTCCGTTGTCCTCATCATCTGAAGAAAGTGGTGGGCGTCTTGGATTGTTTCGGACCTCCATCACTAGTATTTCATTGTCATCATCGTCCTGATTTGGTTGTTGGTAGGCATTGCCATCAATAGTAGTGGCATCGTCGTCCGCAGCCTTGGCATTATCAGCATTTTCCATCGATCCGTCATCATCCACCAGTGCATCATATCTATTGTCGGTCAGATTACGATGGCGCTTCCTTTGATCCACTAAATTTGTTTTGTTCAAATGAGACTGGCCTACCGCATTGTCCAAATTGTCATTCATTGGATCACTGATCTTCTGAATTGCATGTTGAATGTGATGGGTCAAACTTTCTGGTCGGAAAAAGGACTGAAAAGGTGCCAAACGTTTTTGTTTGATGCCACGGATGATTGACAAAGGCGGCTTGTTATAATAGTCGTCGTCAAAGGTTGTTGCCCATGGATAATCAAACATTTCAGAACAAATCAACCAAAAGCCAACAAACGGATTTTCCAGATGAAGGCGAGGATCCGACTTGTCCCCGTCAAAGAATTGATTGTTGTTCTGTTTTTTTCTCAAATTCGTCAATACCAAAGAACAAGAAAGGGTTCTGCAATGAAATTTGCATTGCAAGAACTCGCAGTGACCAGACGTCTTTGGCTGCTTTATCCTCGATTGTGTAGAGATCAAAAGAGGAGATGAGATACTGAGCCAGTTGGGCATTGTCAGAGTTGAGATAAGTAAAAATCTGAAGAAATTGATCGTTGCATGTTGATCTGCCTGCATAGGTGTTGAACAGGGCATCAAATTGCAAACAAGGTTGATTCCAAGCGCCTGGATATCGATCATCCCAGGCTGCAAATAAGGCGTTGCCTGTTTGAATGCAATCCATTCTTTGCATCGCTTGATTGACTGCTTCACCACAGTACAACTTCTTTGACCACCACTCAGACAATTTAGGAACCAGTTTATTGTAGTCCTCTCTACGCCGCGACTCTTGCTTGGCGATTCGCTGTGCCTCAAATTTGTCGGCCGTTTGTAGAGCGTCTTGATCATTGGCGATTTGCTTGATGTCAACATCATTGGAATTGACAGGATCTCTGTCTTTGGGCTGTTCCAAGCCAATTCCCAGTCATGTTTTCATCGCTTTTTTTCCTACAGAGGAAGCCTTGTGTTGGGATATGACGAAATATGAGTTTTTACGTTCCGAAAAGAAACTATTCAAGTACGAAGTTTTCGACACGTACGATCGGACTTTGATCGTAATGTCGGGATTCGCCGCAAGTATGCCGGACGCAAGTCTGTCGGACAAACTACATCCACACAAAAAGGGAATGACCCCATACAAGTGAGATATCGATGTTGTGTACAATGCAGTAGGGAATAATACAATATGTCCCAAAGTACTGTATCCAACACAGAATCGTCGTAGAGGTCGAATCAAGTTCTGTAAACAAGGGATTTTCCAAGGGAAAATTGTTGAACTTACTTTTGTGATTGAATCATCAATTCAAGCCAAACATTAATCAAATAGGAACAATTTCACTCAAAGTATACCTAGACACAGGAGAACTATTGTCGTGAAAGTGTTGTACAGTCGATTACGAATTTAGATTGCAGAGAGTTTGTTCTGAGCGCTAAAGGCACTCACGATAGAGCACATTTTGCTTTGTTCTAACACTAGCTTCCTTGGAGGAGGCGCCTATTCTGACAAACTTCTCTTTTGGTTCCGCATCGTTTGGAGCCCAGATATTGTTGCTGGTACAAAACTGAAAGCCAGCAACCCCAACTACGTCCACATCAACAGCCTTGAGTTCTTGGTAGCCTTTCTCCAGGAAGTTGCCACAGTTGTCCGCCTTGAAGGAACTTCCCATGCCCATCCAGGCCTGGCCCACAAATTCCCCAACGGATTTTCCCAATTTCCAGTTCTGCTCAACCGCACTGACAACACACCCACTGAGAAATGGATGAATGACGCCCGCACAAACAGCCCTTTTGCACGCCTTTTGGTCGACTTGCATGGTCAGCTCCTCAAACGCTCCCCTCTGACTGCTCTTTCTGATCATATCCCTGGTGATAACAACTTTGCTGCTGATTTTATTTCCCGCCCAAACCTGAAACTCTCTCACCATCAATGACTTTCGCAGACATTTCGCACTTTACCTTGGATGAGAAACTACGATTATTTCCAGCCGAGTCCCGAACTTTGCTCCGTCCTGCGCTCCTGTCTATTCTCCAATCCAAAGCAGGCGCCACCAACGATCCCCGCAAATCTGGGACACTTCGTTCCCGCCGACTCCATTTCCTCAAGTTTTGCTATGATATGAACCTGCGCGACGACTATTTAATGAATGGCCCTGACTTCCCTCACGAACGCCGCGTCGCAACCTTTGCACTCTACACAGTGGCACTTGCTACCGGTCGCACAATTAAAGGCCAATACATCAAGTCTGCCACAATCAAGCAGTACCTCCATGCGGCAGCATCTTTTATCTGCCTTTTCACCGGTCGTGATCCCCGATACAACAACCCGAGCGACACCAAAATGTCACCTGATATTCATGCCACCATTGCTGAAGTGGAGCGCCATGAAAACGTTCCCAATAAACTTGAGCCCTACACCCTCGACATGCAACAACACCTCGAGCACCACAATATCGACACCAAAGCCCACCGAGACGGTCTCTGGAAAACATGTGAAGACTGGAACAGTATCGGCCTCCTCGACGGCCACCGCCTGTCCGAGTGTGCCCAAACTTCCGCCAACAAAAATATTGGCGACCAAGCAACCTTTGACGGAATTTCCATTGCATTTTGTGTCGAAGATGTAACCTGTTACGACAAGTCCAAAGGCAGAGTATCCATTTCCGACTTCCTTCAGAATCCAGACCTTGTTTGGCGCATAAAAACGGGTTTCTCCCATCGGAAGAACGGTAACCATGGGGAAGAAAAACTTTTTATTCGCAGCGAAAAGTCACCACTCCGTTGCTACATCCGTCGGATGCATTCCATCCTTTCCCGGTTTGACCGATTAATCGGAATCACCACAACC